TCATCATTGGAGCCTCTACCCATACAATCATCTTTGCCTCCTTAATAAGCTCAACAAGATGAGATCCTTTGACATTGTGCAAGTTGTAAACTCAGTTACGGCAAGCGGTATACCAAAACGTGAATGTGCTGTCCTTCCACCTTGTAACAGAAAAAAGCAGTGTTCCACTCGAATCCACATTCAAAACAACATGACCATCTGTACGAATAGCAGCGCCCAAAATACTCCAAAGAAACGTTTATTCGGATCCTCCAAATCCACGAACAAAAAATATTCCTCCTATATCACGATTTACAACATCCAAAATCTCGTCATAAATCACCATTTGTTTGGATGTTATTGTATCCAACAACCGTGCATGTAGCAACTTGAACTCATCACAATTATAACCTAATTCATCTGTAAGTACATGATTTTTCTATTTCCCCATCAGACTAACATCAACACACCGCAATATGCTCTAAGGAACGGCCGTTAGTTTGAAAAATCCATTCGATATCTGCCAAGGCAAGGTTCTTAATCTGATCTTCCGACAACGTCTAACCTTACACAAAACAAAAGCGAATATAGTTGGATAAGATACATTTGTTTACGTTAACAAAGGAAATAAACAAACAATACAATACCTGGATCTCCATGTTTTTTTCTTTGAAAATACAACATGTATTCGGATAAAACCATCCAAGTTGATTCCCAAACGGTTCTAGGTGTAGGTATACTTTTTGAAAGAAGTATGATCACGAAAAGTCTCTGTAGGAAATACCCAGGTTCCCATTAAATCACCTTATTAATCGCCTCAATGTAATCTCTATCATCATCAAGCAAGCCCAAAGCATAACATGCATCGCGAAAAACTCTCGTGAACAACCCCATCGAATGTTTTGATCTCTTCAAAACTCCATGCACCTTTTATAATATTTAGTAATAGTCCTAGATTGTACAGAACTTCATAAGTAGGTGGAACATATGTGATCCTACCAATAGCAATATTACGTTGCTTTAGCTCTCACGAATTGCTACTCTTGCGCCAAACAAAGTTGGTAGGCAAGTCTAAATAAATCAGTTCCCATGCATCGGAAAACTTTCTATTACAATCCATCCAAGCTAAAAAAATTTGTCATAGTAAACTTTTTTCTGCTGATTACTTCGTCAATTGGATCATCCTTGTTAAACAAAAAAACTATTGACCTGGTAAATGGAAAGAAAGCTGAACAACTACAGTTGTCCTAAATTGCGTCGGAAACAATACCATATGAGCATGTGGCAATCCCCTATATTGTAATTGATATTATACATAGCTAAAAAAAAATATAACACAAAAGGTATTCAGATTATTAGTAAATAATTCAAAAATACGATAATAGAGAAACAAATTTAGGTAATACACATGCTTAAATAATATATCTGAATTAGCGCGACCAAATATTTTGCCTTTGGTTATATCATGGATAAGATTATCGAGTTTCAATTTAAAAGCACGATAACAAATGTCTGGTCTATCCTCCACCTTTAGTTGATGCTTGCGTAGATATCTTATTATCTCAGGCCAGTTAGGATTACAAATAATGGTGATAAAAAAATCCGGAAATCCATATTACTTGCACACCTCCATGGTATTATAACTCTTTTTCCATGATCAGCTAAATCACACTCGCCTTTGTTCATTTACTCAACAATTTTGTCGTACTTTTCGCATCGCAGATTTTTCTGATTCAGGAAAATATATCGCAATCAACTTGACTCGATCATTGTATAACCATTCACCAGAAACAGCTGATACAAACGCCCGGACATAACGATAGTGGTAGCTTCCCCTTCTCTGGATTGTATTCGAACAGCAAAAAAAAACTCACATAGTGATATTCTTACGCACTCTCCCAGATGTATCAACAAATCTAATATCAATCCCTAGTCTGAAACCATCTTCACCGTAAAGAAACAAAAGGGGATACTGCAGCGCTAAGTAATCAGAATGCAACTTAGTGATCCTATGTAAATGACCGTCTATAGTTTTAATAACAATATCACGTGTGTCAACACCCATCTGAAAACCTCCAGGAATTAGACCGACAATGCCATTATTGGTTGGCAAAATGCGTACCCTTCCATCGAGCTGTCTTCTACTTTTCAAAACCAACCACATACTTTGAATATTATCTTCCAAATGCAATCTTTCACATGTAGTTCCCAATGCCTTCACATAAGGATTGTAAGAATCAAGTATCTTCTTCAGGCGCTCAACTATATCCACTCTGATCTTTCCATTCGGATGAGATTTCCTTTAGTTTACAAAAACAAAATTAGTAAGAACAAAGCAAAGCGATATTTAATACAAATTAAAGCTGAAAGTATTACCCATAAACTTTGATTTTATTGGAAACTTCATTACCAGTATCATGAATATATAACTGCAAAAAAGCAGGATATTCAACAGTCTTCGGAAGCATAGAACCGATGTGATGGTAATTTTCACAGCACATTTGATAGACATAGGGACTTTTACCATCATCAATCGCATGATTAACCTTTTCACATAGAGAAGTCAACGTAAACACATGTTCTTATATTCTCACGACAATTTTTACACCTCTCTTGTACACTATTATAAAGCAAGACCAGCAAAATTTTCGGAGGAGCCCTAACAAGTGGGAGATCAATTTTCCCTTGCCCACAGCAAATCGCGAAAACCAGAGTTCCTTTTTTTACTCTTTTATTCAAATATTCTCCAATCCACATATAAGCTGGAAAATTGTAACAAAGATGAGTAGGGTCACCTTCATCAACATAACCTAGAAAAACTAATAATATAAAATAACTCAATAAATTCTAACCATATAACATGAAATCTGAAATAATTCTTACCGTTAGGGTCCGCGACGACATCGGTATCAAAAATGGCTTCATCTGAGTTTCCATTGGTTCGAATGACGACAGGAAACACTATCACCATCGTCTTCAGGCTCAGAATCAGTGGGACAAAAGCAACAAAGTCATCCAAATGAGAAACAGATGGCAATGAACCTGATACATAAAGCATCAATAGTTTAATATAGAGGTGACAAATTAACCGAAAAAATATGAACCAAAACCAAATATTTTCTCCACATTTTTTTTTGTATATACTGTTTATCTTAATAATATTCTTCAAAACATTAGTCAGATAAGAAAAAGAGAACAAAAGACAGATTGAATGATACATAGATGTACAGGCTTCAAACTCCCTACCTCTAAAGGTTCTATTTTAAAGCCAGAATATTATTAAAAATTACAGTTAAAGCTTTTTAAATTTATAATGTTAGGACCTTAAAGGTTTACAAAAAAAATTATTAATCTATACTCCCTCTATTTCATAAAGAATGTCAATTTGATACTTTTCACACCAACTAAGGAAATCATTAAATGTTCTGTTTTATCACTTGTTCACATACAAAATAACATTATATTTCTAACTAAAACAATAAAATTTAAAGGTAAAAATTGGATATTTATTTAAAATCATGCATTAAAAATATAAAGTGACACTCTTTGTGAAACAAATTTTTTTTTTTAGAATGACACGTATTTTAAAACGGAGGGAATAGTGATTATTAATTTATATATATACTATTGAGTTGATAAGTAATTTTGAGATTGACAAAAATATTAATTTATCGAAGTTTTAATGAATCGAATATTAATTTATAGAGGCTATACTATACCAACGCAAATATCAATATATATGAAGTTCAAATTATAATCATATTTTTTTTTTAATTTATATAGATAAGGTGAACATACAGGTTACAAGATGCCACCATAAACAATTTCCTTATACCTTCATCGTACAAAATTTATAAAAGATTTATTAAGGCTATGTAAAATCAAAATTTAAAAAAGAAGTTCCAAATTCTAAAAATATACAGATGAGGGGAACATATTTGATACTATTAGACATATTCACTTACATCTTCTCTATAACATCCTTTTATCGAAAATATAAAAATAATTATATTCCACATTGCTCACCTTTTTAAATAACTTAAGTTAGTATAAATTAGAGGTTAGACTCGGTAATGCATGTCTATAAACTTTAAAGAACTTGTCAAAGATCGCTTAGGTGATTAAACATATAAAAGTGTAGAACATTCGTGAAATATGATATAACATGTCCACAAATTAAGAGAAATAGTCACCGAAAAAACTAAAAAAGACAGAAACCGACACAATAGAACATGCTATAAAAATAATATATATGTTGAAGCAGGAAAAGAGTCAAATTTGTTATCAACTTAAAACCAAATCAATACAAACTTATGCTTCAACTAGTGACTAAGGGAATGAGGGAGAATAATGAATTCCTATTCATTCCTTAAATTTTTTACCATTTACTACTTATAATATTTTCTTATCATTCTTTCTTATTCCTTATTATATAAGGAATTATAGAATAAATATATTCCTTATTAAAATTGGAGAGGAATAAAATATATTTATTTACTTCCTTATTTATTTTTCATTCTTATTCATTCATTTTTTTTTGTTCCTTTCATTCTTTTCCTTTTCATTTCTATTCTTTTTTTATTGATCACCAGTTAAAGCCTTAATAACTCTATCAGGAGGAATACACTAAAACTAAATCCGAAGATTAAAGTTAGAGTACATGATTGAATAAAAAATCACTAAGTAACTCTCCAAAGCTTCAAAGGATTCCTTACATCACCAAAACATAGGAGAATACAAAACAATACCTGTAATGCCTTATTCGAAGCCCATTGAATCGCCTCCACAATCGCACAAACACACTCAAGATCACCGCTCAACAAACATATATCAGACAAACAAAATATGAAAAGTAATAACAAAAAAACAGAAGAGTGATCGTGATGGTTACTATGGGATGAATAATACTGAATATTTTGCTCCCATGGCTATGTCAATACTAACCGAAACGTTATGGTTGAGAGTCGTCAGAATGGGAGAGGAAGTTAAAGTTGAGAGTACAGTTTACTAAATCTGGGACTTATTGGGATATCGTTATCAATGGTTTTTGGTATTCCTGCGACTGCAACTTTAAATCCACGACATATAATCTCCTGTATCATCAGTCAAAAACATTTGTTTAGCTAACTAACAGCAATTGTCGCACGACCATCACTGCTCTACCAGTCGAATAATATTTTATAGACACAAGTGCTTCATATCCATGCATTTTAATTGGACTGTTCTCTTCATAGGTACCATATGTAGCTTTTTTTAGCTTTTAATTGAATGGTATGTAGCTTTTTCACGTTTTCACGTTTTGAAAACGTGATTCCACTAAATACATACCATTCACAATATTCAGCATTAAATGATAAAAAGTGAAAAATAACAAGCTATATTTTAAACTATCCTGCAAGTTTTAAATTTATAACTAATTTAGAAAAAAATTAATTCATCTAATAGATACTAGTTTTTTAGCATTTTGAGTTTATTCAATTTTCAGTTTACCTGTCCTATTGATTCCGCTAGTTTATTATTCAACTATTCTACTATCTTGCTATTAAGTTGACATACCAGTCAAACCCAATAATACATAAGATTTCAATTCCGAAAAAGCAAACATTTCTGTCTTTTGAGATCGCTGTTCACTAACTAACCTTATATATTGCAGATGCTCTCTTTTGGATGCCATCACCTCCAATGATGTAAACCTATATCACACACCGACACCGATAATGCAACTGACTGTTATTAGCAGAACTATACTCCACTCACAAATAGAAACAATCTAAAGGGAGAAGAAAATACATATTCGTAACATACCTGATTTATTTCACGGTCATGTATGTTGTCGACGATCTTTGATGTATCATGACCACCTCGGGAGGTTCCTAGTATGGTTCCCCCGCGCCTGTAGATGTCACTCACAACCTTGGGTGTTAGTATTACACTATTTTTGAAATAGAATCCGCGAAACCCACACTACAGAATCAGAAACCAGATGAGCCACAAAAATCCTAATAAATGGGATTGTTATAGGTAACATTAAATTTGCTATTGCCCTATCACAGCTATATCACAGTTTGCAAAAGTAGTTATAGAATATAGTGTTCACTAAAAGTTTGGGACACAACAACAATCATCATCCCCAATATATACAGTCAAATAACATTAATGGTTGGTACGGAAACTGAACTCACATCCACACCAATTACTTCTGTGACACCATACATGAAGTGAAGACCACACACGATCTCCCTGATTACTGTATTAAGGCCCGGACATAGACCACCACATGTGACAATACAAGCACGGACATCAGCTGGCTTGAAATACACCTATAAAATCAGACATCAGCAGTTATTAGATCAGTAGTTGCGGAAGCTGCTAATTAGTTGCAGAGCATGGGAAACTCATGGAAGAGATGAAATATACCTTTTGGCGTGGTCCAGCACGTCTCAATTGTGGCCCTCTAGGACTATCCTTGTGAACAACAATCTTTAAAATGATACAAAAGTACATATTAGCAAAGTCCTAAATTATCAATATGCAGAGAATAAGAGACAAACACGTTATAAAGAAACACGGCAGTGAGTTTCACCTTTTGCGGGACCGCTACTCTTCTTTGGATTTACCGAGAATAGCTTGAAACGCAGGCTGGCTCATATATAAAACAGGAACTATATATCTCTTCTTCTGGACATGTTCATGGCCACCATACACTACAAGAAACCTTTTTGGGGTTGTATCCGTTGCAGCATAGATAAAAAGTCATAACTGTCGGACCGTCATTCCCTTACACTGTTAAATAGATTTGTTCTTGAGAAATAATCATCCCGGCAAAAAAAAAACTTCCTTTAATCACAACTTGTGAAAGAAAAAAAAACATTGATTTGGAAGAAAGTCTTTCGGAAGAAACGATACATATTCTTGAGAAATCTAAAATGAAAGCAAATTCTTCCCGCAAGTCAATGCATATTGGCTCACCCGTCTGGTTCAGATCTATACTTTTAAAAGCAAGAGTAAAACGAATTACATACCTATGTAGAGAAGAATGAATTAACTGGAAATGCTGAGACAAATTGATAGTCAAATCAATACTTTCTTCGTTGGAAGATTTTTCTCCACGATCTAAGAAGGAAAGAAAATAAAATATATTTCTCCGTTGGAAATTGAGAAAGATCTCTGTTTGAAGATCTTTAATTTCTTCATATCGAACAAAAACAAAGGTCAAAGAATTAAGGAACGTCAGGAACATACCTCTTTTATCCTCTTTTTGTCGTCTGCGTTTCAAGATCTTCTTAAAAATGATTAAAACACGGATTACGTAAGATTCATATCAAATTAGAAAAATCAAAGATAAACAAACAACGAAAAAGATAAACCATAATATGAAGAACACATCACATTCAAAAATAACAAACAAATTTATAAACATAAGAATAGAAATATTAGAAATGTGGCTGATGATCATGTAAAATAAAAAAACCTAGATTTGGTAGTATATATAGAGTTTATTACGTTAAAGAATGAGGGTTTAGTTACTTGTAGCCGACTAAAAAAGAATTTTGATACTACCAAATTTTGTATATAATATCCATAAATATAAATATAGATACGACTTTAACTAATTGAATCCAGAATATCAAAAAAGTAAATATAAATTTCAAAATATATTAGAATAGATTAGCGATTTATTTATTAATGATACTTAGGTAATGTTTAGTGAGACTGAATGAGAGAGCTTTATTCCTCAAAATCACTTCACAAATAAAGGTTTAAATTTTATTTCTTTTAATATTTTCAGTTTGTTATTTAGATGATATTTGTCATTAAAAAAAATAAGTTTTTCTAATTTGTATGCTTTTAATTAGAAAATCTTATATTATTATGAAATAAAGGAAAAATAATTTGTGTTTTCGTTTTCTCCAACAACTCTCACTAAACTATAGTAAAAAGTAGAGATCAAATCGAGATGTGTGCAACTCAGTCAAGCGTTATACTCCTATATAATGTTCAAGATTTTGCATATAGATTAAGAAGTTATTTATTTTTTTTCTTTTTTCAAAATAAAACATCAATTCCAAAAATATTTTAACCAATAAAAAATAATATATAGAACTTAAACAGTAAATACAATTATTTTTTGTATTGATTTCTGAAAATATCATCTAGTTTTGAATAACTAAAAAACTTCTAAAATACCTTATAAAGTAATACAGAGGGAGTATTTAACTATACATTCTTAAAAAATTACTTCTTTGAATTTTTTTAAATAATAATACTTTTCTGTTCACAAAAAAGATTTTTTGAAGTTTTTACACATATTAAAAATATATTAAATTTTGACAGTAAATGTATTGATTTGTTTAACAATTTTATATAAAATTAAACCAATAGTATTTCAATAAATTCAATTACTTTTTGAAATTTACAATTTATCATTATAAACTCATAAAAAATGTATAGAAAATTTAAAACATCTATCTATTGAAACAAAAATAAAACCTTTTTCTAAAGATCACAGGGAATATAAGTTAGCAAAATAAACGTACCTAGCTGATAATGTCTCGGGTAGTACTCGTCCACCACATAAGTAGAAGGATTACTCCCATTATCTTGGTTCCTAGGAATAACGAAAGTGAGATTTTTTTTTATCATAAATGTGATAATATGCAATATATGTTTACATATATTAATACCTTTCTGTACTTAGGCCGGTTCTGCTTTGATCTCTGCATTCCTAGCCATAGCATGAGAACAAGAAGAAGGACTATTACGCCCACACTCACATTGGCTAACTCCATATCCATCAAGTTGTGAGTTTAGCTGGTTTGGATCTTATTTGATAGCTTGGCCAACGTGAACCATTATATATATAGAGAAAATCCATGGATGCATGATGTCAATCTAGACGACTTGCGAGCAGTTTTTTTTTAGTTATTAAATAGATTCAGAATAAGTTAATATTGATAGAAGCGACACATATTTTATTATATAAAGCTGACAAAAAAATATTAACACCATGTGAGATGAACTTAAAACTATGAGAATCGAAACGGATATTTCAGAAAATTGATACAAAAAATTAACACCACGAGAGATGAACTTAAAACTATGAAAATCGAAATGGATGTTCAACAATATTAGGATACATTTCATACCTTTAATGACCAGGGTAAAGTCTCGGGTAATATAAAAGCAAGAGCAAGATCAACGATATAATGAAGATCATCTTCGTCATACGCAAAAATCCAAGCAAAATACACACACACACATATATATATATATATATATTGTGAATGTTATAAATTAACTATAAAAAGTGAGATACATTATATGTCTTTGTATATATAATTATTATTAGAATTGTAAGTGTAAAAGGGAATGATTTAATAATTTTCTCTTCTTTATATATACATGTATATGTTTATAAGAACCAAATGTATCTCATAAAGTGTAATAGTTTCTACTTTGAAGATGTTGCAACTAAAATATGCTTTTGGAATTGCCAAGAGATCACATTTTCTTCAATTATAAAACTATATCCGGTTTGTAATCGAGCTTTACATAAATCTGATAAATATCCTGCATCTGTAAAATCAACCAGACTAATCTTGAAGTTTATAAAATAAAATAAACTAAACTTAATCGTACTTTGAAAATAACGGAATATGTGTTTTATTCCGCTCTAGTATCTGTGAGTAGAAGATGAGCTGTATCTTGCAAGTAAATTGGTAGCATAAGCTATATCGGATTAAATACAATTTGCAATATACATAAGCCTACCGATAGCGCTCATATAAAGTACTTCAGGACCTAATATTTCTTCGCTATCTTCACAAGGATGAAATGGATCTTTATCAACATCAAGCGATCTATTAACTATCAGAGTACTCAAAGAATTCGCTTTATCTATATTAAAGTGTTTTAAATTCCTTCTCGTATAATTTGGTTGCTGAACAAATATTTCATTTTGTAAATGCTCTATCATTTCAGACTCTTCCTTCATATGAGTTCTTATATCATCTATCTCTTTATGAGTTCTGATTATATTCAGGTCATCAACATATAAGCAATGATCACAAATCCTGATGCATATTTCTTAATAAACATGGAAATGCATATCACATTGTTGACGTAACCTTTACTCCGTAAAGTGATTGTTGTAATTCGATCGCATAAATTGCTTTAGATTTTAATGACATTTTCAATTCTTCAGAGATTTTCATATACATATATATGTATCATTATCAATTGATCCATATAGATATGTTGTCGTAACATCCATCATATACATGTCTAGATTTTTAGTTGCTGCTAGAATTGCATCCATCATTTTCACTTAGAACCAACATAACATGCATTTAGCTTAGGATTGTATACATTTGCCTACATGTCCATGTTTGTGGATGATTCTCAGGCGTTTTTGGAGTTTCTTGGAGCTGAGGAAGGGATGGAAGCAGCCCATGCTCAAAGGAGATGTCAAAAGTGGAGTTCTTGAAAAGTCTGGTCCATATCGAGCAAGCACATCAGGCAGAACACCCGTGGAATGTGTCAGAACAGAAGCTTGACACTGAGTTGAAGCTTGAAGATGGTTTGAGAGAAGATGAAAGCTTGATCACTAAGGAAGCGAAGCCTTTGATCACACCAAGTGTCAAGAAGAAGAGAAACAGGAAGACAACTTGTGAGAAGAAGAGACTGATGTCAGTAGGCACTTGGGTTTACCAGAAGAAGGAGGTAGGAGCACCAGCTCCATCAACCTCTTCTCACTAGTCCTCAAACTATCAAAGTCAAGCTTATTGACTTAAAACAAGCATATTTGGGAGGTAATCCCATAACTATCCTTGTAAATATATGCTTTCTTTTATTACTGATGTCTTTATTTAGTGTTTTAGAAGTCAAAGATCAGGTCTATGGATGTGTAGAATCGTTTAAAGGCCAAAGAAAGAAGACTCTGTTTTCACATCGAGGTGCCATATCGAGCAGAACACCTATCATTTTTGCTCGATACAGCTTATCTCGAGGAAGAACCAGTGTGTATACCGAGCAGATTGCACGATGGGGGTCACATCGAGGTGTAGCATCGAGCAGAACACCAAAACCCCTTCTCGATTTGATCACTCCTGAAGCCCCAGTCCGTACACCGAGGAGAGTGGACCGTACATCGATTAAGACGCACTGTGGAGATCACATCGAGGTGTAGCATCGAGCAGAACACCAAAAGCCCTGCTCGATGTGATCAGTACATCGAGGAGCTAAAACCCGTACATTGATCAGACTGCTCGATGGAGCTACACCGAGGAGTTACATCGAGCAGAACATCCAAGGTTCTGCTCGATATGGGTGCTAACAGCCAGCTCGATGCAAGACGGTGTCCGGTACGACAACCACCGAGGAGAAGATCAACAATGTACGAGATGTTCCACATCGAGGTGTAGCATCGAGCAAAACACAACATGCTTGCTCGATGCACAATGGCCACGCCAGAAACAAGCATCCAGACAGTGCCATGCATTGCCCACGGGAAGGA